AATAGTAAATATTGAAAAGAGTACTTTTTGTTACTTTTTCTTAATCGTAATCCTTTAACTTATTTTATCACTGCCGCAAGTTATCAGATTACTTAAATAAATTATGAAAGATTCGCATTCAGACGAGGATCATATGGTTCACTGCTCTCAAAGAAATATGCTTATCCATTGGATTAGTTTTGTCAGTATCACTTTTCAGATGCGTTAATTCCTTTTTATAATAATAAATTTTCCAAGTGCCTAGTAAGTATTTTCTCAGTATAAGTGTAATTTATTTTGAGTTAACACCTTTTTATCATCACTTTATCTCTTTTTCTCGATATTTTGATAGATGGATTTAATTTGTTCAATTCATTTCTGGCCAGTGAATATAGTCAAGAAAATCTTCAATTTTGGATTGCTTGTGAGGCATATAAACGGTTAAGTGGGGCTAAAATGGCGCGTGAAGCCCAGCGAATTTATAGGACTTACCTCTCTGTACAATCGCCCAAGGAGGTAAAATTTTTATCAATAATTATGATAATATTTTAAGCTATTGCTCCTTCCATTGTTTAGGCATCCTACTTAAATCCTAAAAAGGACTAAGCGGGATAATTTATGGTCTTGTTTTGAAATTATTGCAACCCCCGCCAAAAATCAAAGGTTATCCTTATTATGTAATATAACTCCTATCCTTAGCTGAAAATTTGGGTATCCTTTAATTTGAAAGATTAATACTTTAGCCAAACCTACTTTATTATAGTATCAGTGCTTTTCAGAAAAGTAAATCCAAACGTATAGTACCTTGTTGGTAATAAAACCCTTGGTTTCCCTGGATTGATTAAGTTTGATATAGGGAGTGATAATGAAACTATCCCAAATGCGAAGATAAAAAAAGGATCCCTAGGAATTAGAGCCGTGAATACTGTTTCTCATCTTTTAAATTTTATTCAGTTTCGTTAAAGTGAATTCACATTCCATTATATCGGTAATCTTAAAACTGATGCTAACTTCGAGTCTTATGTGCATGCGGAAGTAGGTTACGGTATAAGAGAATCGTTTTATAGATAATATTTAAAAAACCTTTGTGTTAGATAAAGTAAACTAGTAAAATTATATGACAACTAATGATCATACCTAGGTCGGACAATCCCATTATTTTACCCTTATCTCTTATATAAATGCAGATACTCCGATTCTGTTAATTTCAATCTGTGATGCTCATACTCCTAGGCTAAAATAATATTGGAATTTTGTACGTGCGTATAATATATGCCTTGAGTTATGTGTTTCCTTAAATTCAAATCACGAAAAGAATGGTGGAATTTTAACTTTCTATGGATTATAATGTAATGTTTAATAAAATAATTTACTCTTTGCTACAGTACAGTTCAACACAAATAAAGTCAAATATGGACAAAATCATTATTAGTATATAGTATAGTATTAGTGAATACAAGATATATTTTACCCCCAAAATGTAACCTTCATCTACTGGCGTAGTGAATAATATAAGTGTCATATTTAGGATTTGGCTTAAGTAATAAAACTATTTTAAAATCTATTTTAATATCCGTATATTTGCATTTAATATATTAGGCAGAAATTTCTATTGAAATTCCTAATATATGTTATTTTTAAATATCTTCTTTGTAGGTCAACTTAGATTCAAAAACGAGACTAGAAACGATCGCTGGTCTTTCTTCACCCAACCATTACGTCTTCGATGCGGCACAAAAAAAGATAATGGCTCTTATGCAAAAGGACTCTTACCGAAGATTTCTTCGATCTGACATTTGTAACAAACTTCGTAGTCAAGTCGATGACAAAGAGCAATGCTGCAAAAATGAGCGGGTAATTT